ATAGCAGCTCTTCCAGGAAGCCTTCTCTGATTGCAGCCTGCTGGTCACACTCATGACACACCATGCATTTCTCTGTCGTTGCCCTTTTGTACACTGACATTTTTTTCTACATCTGTTACTTCTACATCTGTTTCTTCATTTCTACATCTGTTCCTCAGACTCATCTCCATGAAGACAGGGATCACAGTTTTTTCCTCTGAGTTTTTGGCACCTAGCACAATGCCTGGCACACAGTTGTTACCTGATCCGTGTTTATGGAATGAGCAAGAGTAGCTTTCTTTTGGCAAAATAAGGGCTTTATTTTTTCTCCTTCAGCTGGATTATATTGTCTACTGTTCTAAGCAGTGAGCCTTATCCAAACAACCTATTGAAGTGGCTCATCTGGACTTGTTGGACATGAGCTGCGAAGTTTGGCGGGGAGAGAGTTTGGTCAGGATGGGAAATGGCTAGAGAGCTGGTTTCTTCAGCTGGCTGTTTATGCCACAAAACCCCCGAATTTCAGTGTAGAGCAGCACCACTAATTACAATGCCTGCTAACCTCATGCACTCGCTTTTTCTAATACTGTGCCATTATATAGACAGGCTGGACCTTGCAGTTGACTTTGCACTTTCTAAACCTCAGGTTTTAAAATTTTCCATCAGTTTGCTTGTTCTCTGTACTCAGCCTAAGCCCTGCCAGCAAATGCCAGTTGCAATCACATGGAAAATGTGAGTTACTAATGCAAGCTGGCATTAGCAGGATATATATGAAGAAAACTCATATTCAGAAATAACTAGTACTTCCTTTGGATCTTGCCAATAATGTAATCCATCGTGGGCTTTCAGAGTTGAGGCTGACTCACTGGTGAAGCCACTTACCGGGAACCAGTTCCCTAGTCTGCGGAGTTGGGCCTGGTGCACCCCGCCCGCTGTGAAGCCTCCACTCTCCTTATCTTGGCGTTCCAGGCCCTCCAAGCTCTGGCCTCACCCTTGTCATTGCTAAGAAGTCGTTACCAAAGGGTGTGGCCCCCTCAGGGCACACAAGGGAAATCAGCCTTTTCTTGACACAGACTTCAGGGTCAAGGTTGGAGAGAAGCCCTCCAGTCTCAGTTCACTCTGGAGTGGGTGTTCTCAGCCTTCCTCGCGTGACAGAATCACCTGGGATACTTTTTCAAAAAGCACACAGATGCCTGCTTCACCTGCATTCTAAATCCACTGCTCTTTGGTGAGGCCGGGGTGCTGGTATGGTTTAAGTTTCCTCTGGCAGGTCTGACATGAAGCTGGAGTTGTCAACTGGGGTCTGCTGAGGCCCCGACACTTTGCTCCGTCTCTTCCAGCCATCCCTCTGACATTACATCATCAGGTCCCTTCCAATCTTGCTTTGGTCTAAACCAGACTGTTTCCCTCTCTGATAGTTCCCATCTCCAGAGGACTGGTCTGGAGCTTCCCATTTCCCATTTTTCATGCTTCAGGGAATCAGACCTGTCTCCTAGCTTCCCATCTTTGTCCTTATTAACCACCATCAGCCCTGACATCAGTTATAAGTGGACAAAAGTAAAAACCTAGTTTGTGTCTCATCCCACATCCGGAATAGATGATTGCTATGATTCAGTCAAGACATTCAAGAAATGTTTCTTGAGTGCAGAGGGCACACCAGTTCCTGGGCTGGCCCTTGGCTGATGTAGATGAGTAAGAATGCTTGATTCCTGCTTTCGTGGAACTTACACTTGAGAAGGGGACAGATACAAAGCACATGCGTATTAATATATGGCGCCGGGACTGGGGGGGTGGGGGAGGGCTGGGTGCCCCCGGAGTGCTTGGAAGTGGCACTGTTCTGTTGTTGATTCCTGCTGTTACTGTTGATTTGAAACTTTTGAATTTATATTGGCGTCGAAGTGATTAAGACTGTTGTGATAGTTTCCGGTGCACAGCCGGAGGACTAAGTCATAGATATGTGTGTATCCCTTCTCCCCCAAACCCCCCACCGGGGCTTCCTTGGTGGCTCAGTTGGTAAGGAAGGCACCTGCAACACAGGACGCGCAGGTTCAGTCCCTGGATCGGGACGATCACCTGCAGAAGGAAATGGCAACCCAGTCCAGTATTCTCGCCTGGAAAATGCCATGGACAGAGGAGCCTGGCAGGCTACAGTCCAAGGGGTCACAAGAGTCAGACACGACTTAGCACCTAAACCACCACCATTCTCCCCCAAACTCCCCTCTCTTTTGTATATGCGAGGCTGATGGCCCCACACTTGGCAGTGTTCAGGGATGAAGCCAAGGGATGTGATGAGGAACCAGGTGATTTTCCTTGTGTGCACGGTCAGTTGGTGCTAGAAATGGGAACACCTCAGTCTTCTATTCCCAGCCATTGCCCTTCCTGCCCATGTGTGGCCTCTCCAAGGGTTTCTTTCTAAAGGTGTTGGAGATGAATAATGGAGTATTTTATAGAATATGGCAGAGAGTTTCAAACAAGTAAAGCAACAGAGAATGATTTTGAAATAAAACCCTGTCACAGTTAGTTGGCACTGGCACGATTTTTTTTTTTTAACATCTCGACTGCAGTAATAAAGACGGTAGGGAAGTTGGTGAAAAGGAGAACTTGGTGCCAGCTGGGGGCTGTATGAAATCATTTCACTTCAAAACAAAGAGCAGAAATAGGAGAAATCAAAATAGATGATCCCCAGCTCCCTGGCTTCCTCCTCCTCTTGAGCAGGAATCAAAGGAGAAAAAGCTCAGCAGTAAAAGCAGTCTCCAAGGACTGGTGTCGGGATGAGCAGCTGCCACAAAGACAGATACATCATTCGCCCCTGGAGAATCTTGCTTGTGCTTCCTGCACATGTGAGAGAGCCAGCTTGCTTTGCACACACACACAGGAGCAAAGTCAAGAGTTTGTGAGCTTGGGGCAAGTATCTCAGCCCTGGGCATCACCGCAAGGTAGCTATGCATGTAGCTTCTGGTTGCTGTCAGCTAAAACCTACAGATAGACTGAGACCAAAGGTGCTAGCTCAGAATCCAACTAGAGTCTATCCATCTATTGATTTGAGGAGAGGGGAGATTAAAGGTCATTTCCTTTTTCTCTGAACTCATGTCATCCTTAACTGCAGTTTTCTCCTGACGCTAGTACCAGTTGTTAATTAATCGCCTTTCAGCTCCACACACATCTTTTTTTGTCCTGTTTTGTCATCCTGCACCTGGACTCAGCTCCTTATGTTTCTCGTGTGCCAGCCGGCTTCAGTCTTATACTGAAGCAATAGAGGGCGCTGCAAAATTGAAGGGAGAGAAAGGGCTGCTTTTGTTCCACAGGCTGTTTCTGGTGTAGTTGCATGGAAATTGGTGGGCAGAGGGCCCTGGCAAGTGTTCAGCGTGGTGGTGACGGCTCTCAGGGTCCAGCCTTTAGCACCTGTGGCGCTCTGGTTCTTTACGACAGCAGCTGTGCTCAGCTTGCGGGGTCCTCCTCGCAGTTTCTGATTTCCTCACTGACTTTCCCCTCAGCCTTAGGGATGGTCTCTACCTTCTGAATTTCTACCTCTGTTACACTTAACAGTTCTCTTATCTTCTGCCTAGTTAACAGTCCTTTCTACTTGATGTCCCACGTTCAGGTTATTAATGGGATTTGTCTCTTGACTGGTCCCTAACGGATACACTTGAACACATCTGATGACCTGTGCAGCATTGTTTGTATGTGCCCCTCAGAACTCCTTATGGAGCCTCTGCGCTCTTGACTCCTACAGAAGCGGCCTTCCAGCTGGAATATATTACACTGAGTATCTCAGGGAATTAATTTCTAGATCCTAGACTTCCCTGTATGTACACTTTCCTAATAAGATCAGCCTGAGAACATGCCTGCAGGGAAGATCCCGTGGGAAGGGTTTTTTTTTCCCAGCTCACCTTGAACTTTAAAAAGGCATACTTCTTATTCCTCCCTGATTTTACAGTGCATTGTCTAGAGTTGTAATATACTTATGCTGTTTTGATTAATTTTTTTCTATTAATTTTAGCAATAACTCAATCCAGAAGAAAAATTTTTTAACATCTAAAGCCTTAAGACTACAGGAAATTAAGAAATCATTTTGATTTATATCTTACTCTTGTTACATGGAATAATGCTAGGATAATTAATAAGAGATTTTCAAGCATGAAACACATTATGAAGGGTAAAATTGGAGAAATGGAATGGAAATGTGACTTTAAGAAGGGAAAAGAACATTAAGTGTTCCTACTGGTAAAAGGTTATTCATGTGTTTAAAAATTTTGGATGATGGTAAATATTGCTATGGTATCTATAATTGTTTGGATACATATAAAAGCATTCAAAAATTTTTGTTCTAGATTGTCAATATTGACTACGTGCTAGAATTACATTCTTTGCAACAATTTAGGTAAAAGACAAACTGTATAAGTTAATAGAGAAAAATATATGAACATATATATATATGAACATGTATATATATGTATATATGAGAGAGACGAGAAACTTTAGCTTTCATCTTTGAAAAGTTCAAGACGGTATGTAGTTTTCCAGAATTGTTTGAGGAGATACATGAGTAAATATATGTGCCTCACTTATAATAAAACCTGAATGAAGGAAGACTGGGTGAATGAATAAAGGAATGAGTAAGTGAATCAGCAGTTGAAAGACAGAAGTCCCTCCTAGGATAAATAGGAACAACATTCTGTATTTCTCTGCTCAGGCTGTTTTTCAGCTTCTCCACTTGGGGAAATTTGCATATGGAAAAGGCTAACGTGGCCCTGACATGGAGGCCCAGATCAGGAGCCAGCCCAAGTCTCTCCTTTGCCTTTATTTTAGAATGACCTGTGACTGACTGAATGACTTGTAATGCATTTCCTTAAAGCCCAGTGTCTTGTTTTTATTTTTTCATCTGTGCAGTGGATTTAGAAATTCCAAATGAGTGACCGTTGGAATATTCATTTTATCTTTTGGAGGGAAACACCTGTGGCTTAATAGAACAAAACATCTTGGAGAAAGAAGACGTGGGTTGATGCAACGGTTTGCTACTAACTGGCTGCATGTTTGTCAAATGCCTTCAAGTCTTTGCACTTCAGTTTCCTTGTGTGTAAAAAGTGAGTGTTGATAACTGTGAGCCTTAGATGAAAGCACGCATGTAAATGTGCTTTGTACATGGTAAGCCATCAGTACATGTGGAAGCTAATTCTGAAATATCAGTTGGCAGTGAACCTTGGTATATCCACCTCTTCCTGCCCTAGGGGTTGCCTGTTAGTTTACCGTGAACTAAGCTAGTTGGCCATTTAGGGCTGCACACTGCCCCAGGTCCTAATCACACCATGGATCTTCCATCCTAAGGCAAGGATGTGGAACATTTGATGGTCACACGTGGACGTACTCCCCCTTCACTTCTGTAGCTGCGGTTCTTGTAAGCTTCCCGCTACATGTAGCATGTGTTTTCATCCTTGCCTCGGGGGAGACACATTTGCAGGTAGTTCATCTGTAGAATCTATGGCAGTGGTCACTGTCAAGTATTTCCATGGATTATATAAAATGTAAAACACAGACACCATAGCTTCATGCCAGAGTGTTTCCTGAATCTGCTGTCTTGGGGGCGTGTACAGTACTGGCCGGTGTTCCAACCAACTGAATTACAAACTGAGCAACGCATGCACATGCACGCAGACACACACGTGCACACACACGTGCACACACACGTGCACACACACACATGCACACACACGTGCACACACACAAGATGATTTCTTTATAGATCTCTGGCACCAAACCAGTGGTACTTCACCTGGTATTTTGTCAACAGTGGAGATCAACTGAGAAATTTAAATGCTTGTGCTGAGTACCTAAAAATAAAACTATAAGATTTCATCTATTACTGAAACATTGGTGAGTAAAGGGACGTACCTGTGGTTGCAGAGTCGAATCAGGTTAAGGGGCATTAGAGCTGCTTCTACACTGGCGTCACCAGCTTTTAAAACCAGGACCTCTCACTGGGCTCTTCATACCTTTACACTAATGGGAGTGATGAATTTTAAAATGAGTTTTTTGATGTTCTGTAGAGAGTAAACCCTCAAGCCGTATTTCTATAAAGATTAAGATCTTATTCCAGACCCCAATTAAACTAAGGGAAGTCATGATTGCAGAGAAACAGAGAGGAGAGTCCAGTTCCTGCAGTGTGCCATTCACACTTTTCCCAGATCTCATCTCACTGTTTCTCACAGCATCACTGTAGGTTGGGTGCCGTCCCTTCCATTTCACAGGTGAAAACACTGAGGTTCGGGGAGGTTAAATTCAGCACAGCAACATGAGTCCATGTCTGTCTGAAACAAAGCATTCTTTCCCCTTCATGCCATTAGCTCTGACCCTGGCTCAGAAAGGTGGACGCTCGAAAAATGGGCTGTGGAGGTAATGTTAGTGTTTATCTTCCCATAGACCCAAAGCGGCAGTTCTCAATCTAGGCTGCATGTTAAAATCACCACTGTTCCAGGGTTCACACTCCTGACTTGTAAGAGAGCTCTTAGAGCAGTATTTTTCAGCTTTCAGAATCACCTGGTACTTTGTCCAAACAGATTTCTGGGCCCTGCCTCCAGAGTTTCTGATCCTTTAAGCCTGGAGTTGGCCTGAGAATCTGCATTTTTAGTAAATTTCCTGGTGCTACTGTTGGTTGGGGTCCTCACTTTGTGAACTACTGTCTCAGGGCATTGTTTCTCAAAATGTAGTTCCTGCCCAGAGTATGTAAGTTCAGAATTACTTATGAACTCAAAAGCAAGCTCAAATACAGGATCAGTCTTGGGGGTCGGGCACTAGGGAATCTATCTTTCAACCAAATATTCTAGGCGATTCTTCAGCTCACTGAACTGTGAGAACAGTCATCCAGTGGATTTTTAACCTCCACCTCTTATCATACACGACCTTGCTCTTAAATTCTATCTCATTTTGAGTGAAAACCCCACAACTGGCCATTAGTAGTTATTGCGACTTGGTTTCTGGTTTATTTAAAATGCCCATAAGGGATCTCTTAGTCATGCTTTATAAATAAAAACAAAAAAAGAAAAAAAGTGACTTAAAAAAAAAAAGCACCTATCAATTGTCCAGTTTCCACTTCTTCATTGGGGGAAAGAGGCCTGGCTGATGAGGCGTTGTTTCGTGCTTCCCCACGTAAGTGGAATCGAGAGGAGAAAAGCACCCTTTGAAGAGTCTCCTCTCCTTTCTTCGCTGCTTCCTTATTTTACCTGCAGCTATTCAGTTTCATCAGCCCCAGTAAAAATGCAGCTCAGGCTTGGAGTTTAAAGGCCTCTGGGAAGCTGGGTCACCGCCGGCTTCCTCAGAGCTGGAAAACGTCTGCAGAAAGTGCGCTCAGAGGTCGAGGGCCAGCAAGCCTGGCCAGTGGCGGATGTGCCCTGAAGAGATGCAGGTGCTTCCCCGCCCCAGCCCCTCAGCTGTGCTCCAGGGGGAAGCCGGCGGCCAAGAAGAGTATTTATAGCCTCCTCTCCCGGCTGGTTCCTGCCCCAGGACCCCAGCCTGCTGCTGACGAGACAGGGGAAGGTCAGCAGGCTAGGTGGAGGGGGCCCAGCTGGCTTCCCTGAAGAGTTGCAGACATTAGTCCCCTGACACCTGAAGTTACAGACACAATGGGATCTCCAACAGGGAGAAATGAAGGGCATGGGAAAAGATTTCCCATTGTTCTTCCCTGGCTCCAAAAGAAGCCGTTTGCCCAAGAGAAGCCCACCACGGGGAGGCCCACCACCATCTGCAGAACTGGCTTTTAATCATTCTTGCCAATAATTGGGGCAGGCAGGTCCATGATGCCCCCTCAGCCCCTGCTTCTAATGCCCAGCCCTGCCCAGAGGTTCTCACCTGGAAACCAGCGTCCTCTTCCAGATTCTTAATGCAAACCTGTCAGCAGAAACAACGGCCCTTTTCCTCTCACATCCTTAGTTTAGTTAGGCCTTTGAGTTACAAAAGAAGGTGGAGGTAACAGCGGTCAAGGTTACCTTGGGCCAGGTGGACAGCCCTATTTAATAAGGTGACTTTGGGGTTTCGGAGACGGGGCCACTGTCCCCACTTGTGCAGAAGAGGATTAGGGAGCCCATGAAATACCTTGTCAGTGTTTATGGGGCTGCGTTCTGTACACGGCTTCTCAGCACACAGCTTCTAGGTGAAATTGTTAGCTCTCCAGGGGAAAGCCAACAAAACAGCAAATGTTCCAGAAGGGGTTTCACTTCCTAACTGGCAGCGAGCCCGAGATCAAAACCTATTACTCGGAGCCACAGGTGGAATTCCTGCAGGAGACACAGGCTGTCCTATTGTTCTGCCTGGGGTCACTGTGCGTGGACTAAAGCAGGGGTCCCTCTGTAGCCAAATCAGGGACTCGTGGGTCGTTTTCTCCCTGAGCTTGGCTAGCATCCTATCTCTACAAACAGGGGACCTGGAAGCCTCATGATGGGTGTAATTTCAGGAACCCTTCCTGAATGCAGAAAGCAATTTATATTTTAGTTTTCTTTAAGAGGAAGTGGGTCAGAGTGGAATGACAAAGGTAGAGGCAGTTGAAGTCAGTGTAAGGGCTGGAGCCGGGCACATGGCAATGACAATAACCAACTGTTAGTTTGCACTTTCCAGTTATCTGTACAGTGCTGAGCGCTTTCTGGACGGGATCCATTTAATCCTCCCAGTCACTCAAGGAGGCAGATGCAGCTATACTCCCTCCTTTAGGGCAGAGGAGACAGGTCTAGCGAAGCCGGAGGGCTTGCTCTTTGTCATGGATAAGGATGGCAGAGCTGGCATTCCAGCTGCCTCCCCAGGAGCCTGGGCCCTCTGGGGCTCAGAGGCTGGTCTCCCCCAGGAACTCTTCTTGCTGTAGGCTCTTCCTAGGATCCCACAGACAGGGAGGTGGGGCTCGGCGTCCCCCTGAGAGCCTGTTCTAGGCACAGCCTCTTGGGCCAGCCCAGGGTTCCTCGAGACCTCCCTTATCCCATTCCTGCAGGTGCCCACACACCCTCCCACTTTCCACTGGACGCTGGTTCCTGGTCAGCTCCCCCTCTGAGGGAGCTCTGCAACTGGGGTGACTTTGGGGGCACTCTGCGTGAATTAAATTCATGCTGGCTCATGTCACTGGAAGTGTTTTGCCCGACTCTTCGCTGCAGCAGGGTGGGGCAGGGAGAGGGAGCTGAAAGCAGAAAAGGCAGCTGGCAAATGCCTCCCCACCCCCTCCCTGGACCACCATGGAGGTCAGTGATGCTTTACTGTTGTCCTCTGGGGTGTGCAGTTGCCCTTCTCCAGTGGGTGCTGGTGGTGGGGACCGAACGTGCACAGCATGAAGGGGCACGGCTAGCTGAAGGTATCCTGCCTGGGACTGAAGGTCTCTTCTGTCTGGTGGGATGACCTCTTTGTATGCTTTTCATCAGGTGGCAGATAAGGCTGTAAGTTTCAGAAAGAGCTTCTCCTTTCTGGATTCCTCATGGCTTTTCCATTTTCCAAGTCACCTAGACAAGATTCTCTTCCTTGTTGATTGTTATACCTCTGAGATTCAGCACAGCTCCTAGCATATGATGGGTGCTTAATCAATGCCCATCCACTTAATAGCCATCCATTAAGTGAACAGCTAATTGAATCAGTGAATCCATGAACCATTGATGTTGGTCCTAGATTCCTGAAGTTAACCAAAGAGCATGACACTAGCATCTTCTCTGGGACTTAAAAAAGGAATGCCACTTTCAGAGGTTTGGGTCATGTGTCAGTTACAAGAGCAAGAAGCAGTCGCTGGAATTAGAAGCGCAGGTTTATGGGAGGGGGACACCTGTGAAAAGTAGAACAGGAGGCAGCAGGGTGGGGTGGGGAAGAGCACTCTGCCGGTCGGACACGGCCGAGGAAAGGGAGTGGTAGGCAGGAGTGTGAGGCCCAGTGGCTCCCCTGGCTGGAGGCTGGTTGGCCGACTGCAAGTCCTTCCCTGAAGCAGGATCTGGGTGCTGCACCTCCATGCAGTCAGGGGAAGGGTGCAGAGATGATCTGGGCGTGATGATGCTGATTGCTCTTCCTTCTCCCGGCCGTGTCCTCTCATCCCGTGTTTCTTCCATCAGGGCCACCCGGGTCTCCATCACCT